ACGTTTTCGATACATACAGTTCCTGTATCTTAATTATTTTTAAGGATTAAAATCTTTCAAAATAGGAGACGAGACTCCAAACCTCTACGAACACTTCCTAATCCGTCTTCGACTTCATGCGCTCTGCCGCTCGCATAATATTGCAGTTGCGTGCGATTTTTTTTTACTTTCCCAGTGAGGAAGAAAGGAGAAACGTTTTGATTTTTTATGACACGTCTACCCCCCGAAAACAAAAACAGACAGCACGACAGACCAGCGAGACTGGACCTGACTGACGTGGCCCGAACCGCAGCACCACCGCGGCCCTGCCGAGCGCGAGCGGCTCCAGGAGTGTTGTGGCGCGAGGTCATTGCCGGTGACCCCCTCTGTCGGCGCCATTGAAACTGGAAACGGCACTTCCACGGTCACAGAGAAGCGCTGGTCCGAACCCCGGAGCAACACGAGAGGGTAGAATCGGACAGCCGGGGGGGCCGGTGTGTGCTTGTTGGGAATGGCGGGGGCTGGGGGGGGGTATCGATTGATGGACGTTCTAAAACGTTTTTTTTTAGTTGTCTTTAACGAAACTTTAAAAAAACCCACAAGAATCTCAACATTTTCCAAAATAACTGAGCATCAGTGTAAGGGAATGAAAAGTCAAAACACACGTGAGGCTCTTGCAGTGCCTTTGCTTTCATTGTCTCCGTTTCCGGCTCTTTCCTTCCGTCTGTCCTCTGTGTTTCACGCTGTGTTAAATACACCAGGACACCCAGACTTCGTTATTATTGCAGTATTGGGAAGCAGAGAGTTTGAGTCTGTAGCTCTGGAGGGGATCAGGGGAGCTGGGCTCCGCGGGAATTAAATCCCGGATGAAGCGGATTTGTTCCCAGTCGCCTGTATCGCGTGTCTCGGCACCGAGTCATCTGTGTTTATTTAGAATTGCTGTTGGGGATTAAAACACGACTGAGCGCAAAACCGCGGCGCAGAGACCACCGTTTCGAGCTCAAACGTCCACATTCACGCCAACATAGATATTTCATTCCACCCCGCATCCCGTGCGCTCTGCCTGGGAGAAACACATCCCCTTTCAGCAATGAGATTATTAGCGGTGATCAGGATAAAAGGCGTTTTCCGGCGTCTAAAGGCACTGCGGTAAAATAAAAATAAAAAAATAAATTAACAAATTAAACATACCATTATTGAAGTTATTATTATTATTATATTATATATTCACTTCAATTATATTTTAATTGATGCACACACTACTAATTAATGGCACAGGTTCGCCATGATATATTATTATTATTATTATTATTATTATTATTATTATTAAAATAAACAATCCTGCAAAACGCCTAACTCCGGTGAAAGTTAAATTTCAGGTAACTCGATGGCGCGGAGTCGCAATACACAAGCACGCGGAGACGCAGGAGACTCGGGCTGCAGATCCCGAGGTCTGTCCGTGATGAAGCAGCCGGAGGTGGTGCACAGTCGTGCGGGCGGAGAAATCTTTGTGCTCGCAGGTATAATAATCACGCGCCACGGACAAGGACAACAACCCAGGTCTCTGCACCGGCCTGGCTGCTGCGCGCGGCAGCCCTTCGCGTCGAGCCAAGAAAGTTTAGCGATTTTACACGAACCGTAAAATAATGTGCTTTTAAACATACAGGCCTTTTGCACGGACACCAACTACAGGCTTCAATATCATGTGCGTAATGGCGACTTAATTACATGAAACTCATAGGCCTGGAGTTCAACGTGATCGTTCGCATCTTTGTTTCAAATTAAGGAGAAATTCTAACATTGGATTGCGAGTTTTTTTTTTACTGAAAAATATTTATCATCCATCACTTCGCAATATATGTAGCATGTTGTTTCAGTTCTAAATATGATTAAATTAACATAATATGTTTTAGGATTCGAAGAAGGAATTTCCAGTCCTCGTATCTTGTATAAAGTACATGATGTTTTTTTTATGAATTTTGAAAAGTAAGAACACATATAAAAGTCCAATGAATATATGAATCAGCGAGGTTTTGTAAAGCAATCATACGAAAGAAGAATTAATTCATTCTCTTTTGTATAACTGAACAAACAGACAAGCCTAAACGAAAACAAATATTACAAATATCAAGGATGAGTTCACGTTTAAATCTCTTTACAATTAGGTCTCTCAGCATTACATTAAAAATAAATAAATAATAAAAACGCACAAACACAATGAAATTTGTTCCACAGATTTTTTTAATCGAAAAGAACAACATTCTTAATGAAAATGTTAATAATTTAATGGAAATGCTTTTAATTAACAAAATATTAATGGAAACGGATATTGATTGCTTATGATTAAAATAAAAAAGGTAGAGAGGGCATGAAAATAATTAGTGATTATGTAGCTAATTATAACTATTTGTTCTGGTTACTTATAGGTTTTTCATTGAAAAACTTGAACCTGAAAATAAAACTACTGGAATTGAAAGAATTCTAATGCTTCTGTAAACGAGGTTCATGCTAAATTTCGTACAACAATTGTTTTTGCCTTAGCTTCTGTTAAATCTCTTAAATTCTCAGGTTTTTTTTAATTTTAATAAAATTGTAGTGTCCAGAAATGGCCATTTTCAAAATCAAAATAAGGCACTAATACATAAAAAACAAAATCATCCCTGAACTTTCTAAAGAATTGCTGCTCTTTTTTACACACAATAATCAGCATATTTCAAGGCAGAACGTTAGTACATTTATCTTGGAATTATTTAGGAAACTTCACAATACTTTCGAAAAAAAGTACAGCGGAATGAATCTACACAGTCCAGATTTTTTTTTAATGCGTACAAGAAAGTGAATCTGCTTAAGGACATTACAATACGAGCTCAAAAAGCAAGAAGAATATTTAGTTTGCATATTATTCAATAATGTAAGATGGTGTTTGGCTAAATAACCTGATTCAGCAGTAGTTTAATACGCCTTTTCGTAGTAAACTTACGATGATTTTACCGACAGATCAGCGCTGGTTTTCCGTAGTGAAACAAGCCGTGATCGAATTTCTTCTCCGGATTCCTTCGAATCTGTGTTTTTTTTCCCCACTTTCGATGTGAATTTGACATTCGCTTGCTTGTCGCGTGCTTGATTTACCTCTGTCGCCTGCGAGCTTCTCAACTGGTCGCGCGGCTCCGCTCGGGCCGAAAGCCTTTCTCTTTGTTCCCCGGCGGGAGGGTGCTTTTACCCCGCTCGGCTGGCTAGATGGCGCCCTTGCTCCACGCTGGAGCTCCGAACCGCTACAACTTGACCTCGCTGACGTCACCGCAGTCTGGAGCACCAAGGCCACTTTCAAAACCCCATTGGTCTGAAAATCACGTGGCGGGCGCTGTGCATCCATAATTATGTTGCTGATATTTTTTTTTGCCACCCAAAAAGATGTCAGCTCCCAACCGCCGTAATCTTCCTCGCAGCCCTGACTCCTGAACCAACAATGTCATGTCCCAACAACGTAGCTACGGGGTCGTTTCTCATGGATTCTCTGGTGGGACCCTCCGCGTACCGAAGTGAGGGGTATTCGGCCGCCTCCGGGATGTACATGCAGACGGGCGCCGAGTATGGCTGTACAGTGATGAGGAACTGTGGAATCCTGCCTTCCTCTCTCCCCAAGAGGGACGAACTCAGCCCGGTCAGCCTGCCTCTCGGCTCCTACCACCCCTCGCCTTACCTGGCGCAGCTGGACACGTGGGGGGGGGACCCCAAGGGCTCGTGCAGGACAGACCAACCTGTTGCCAGACCCCTGCCCTCCTGCTCCTTCCCGGCGGGCAACGTCAAGGAGGAAAGTATGTGCTGCATGTTCCGGGCGGATGTCAACGGGGCCAAGGGGCCGGGGGAACCGACCACCTACACCCGACTCGGGGCGGAAAGGAGCCCGCCACAGCGCGCGGTGCCGGTGCCCGGCTACTTCCGCGTCAGCCAGGGTTACCCGGGGGAGAAGGCGCAGGAGGAGGGGGAGTTCGGCCCTGGTTTCTCCTCGGTGGGCAGCCTGGCGTCTCCCAGCGAGACCGCCGCGGTTGCCGGGGTGCCCGTGCCCGAGGCTTTCTCGGAAAACGGCGAGCACGACCGGGACTCGGGCCCCGCCGGCGTCAAGAGCGAAGACGCCGCGGCGGCGAAGAGATTAGCCGAACCCGAGCCGGAGCGGCTCTCCAAGACGGACAGCAGCACGGACATCTCGGACAGCGAAGCGAAAGGTAGCCGAACCCCCAGCGCCAACAGACACACACCTTTACAGATTAGCGCCCTGCAGCTGCTGAGCTGAACCACCCGACAACACAAGTTTTCCCTAGAAGACTGCATGCGAAAATGGCTCTTAGAAAACTGTTTGAGCGGGGCTTATCGGGGGAGCAGTGTTATTAATATTTTTACATTCCGTAGGCCGACGTAAAAGGTCTAAGAAACCAAATGCAAAGCTTCTGTGTTTTCTCCCTTTCCCTTCAAGTTTTTAAAGTTAAGGATACTGCTCTAAATCAAGCGTCTTTGTGGTCGCGCGTCGTCTCTATGCGTGCAGTTACGCTTACTCTCTGGTTGATTTGCGTGCAACGAGGCGTGCTTTTCATCAACAAGGTGAGATACAGAACGCCAATACTGGGCAGGAGGGCCAGGAAATCTGCGACCGCAACCCCCCGTCCCCCCCACACATACACACCTCCATTAATTGACAGAAAACCTCAAGGCACTTGCCCAAGATCAACATTTCGTGGAAGCGGAATTATTATGTTTTGCGTGTTTAAAGGGAAATAAGGCGTTGCTTGGTCGCTTTTCATATTATCAACACACACAGCACGATTAAAAGCACTGCTTTAAACGGTGCCGAATCGCCTGATAATGAATATTTTCAGTTCTTTGAAGATGCGGGGCTCACGCGGGTAATTATAGGAGACGGGTCTGTGCTAATTCTCACCAAGGATGATGGAATTTCCCTATTCACCTCTAATCATCTTTTTATTTGACAGGGATAATGGCCGGCCGTGCCTACCAAGAACAGCGCTTAGAAAGCGCTAGGAAGCCCGCTTCACGGCTCGCAGGAGCGCGAGTAAATACAGTCGCAGATGACAGGGCTCGGTCTGCTTATGACTTGTGTTACCGCGCTGTAAAGGCGAAGGGGCGATAAAACGAGAAGAGCGGTAATTGTGGCGGAGGAATCGGATACGACTGCAGGGGAACTCACCGAGGCCGGCTGCGAAATAAAACAGCCTTAACTTTTTTTCACGCCCTCGGATACTTGATACCTTTATGTTTTCTGACGTGTTGCGCCACCCCCCCCCCCAAAAAAAAAATATAGATATATCTATGTCAATATATTTTGAAAATGATCTGTCGCCGTCGAGGCAGGCCCGATACTCGAACCGTGCGTCTACATTTCACCATGAGAAGATCCAACGTCAGGCTCGGTCTTTCTCAGATTACAAAGAAAGGTTTCAGAATATTGACTAGGTGACATGCCATTTCTACTGCTGATGCAGAACTGATGAAAGTAAAAATCTGTGCTTTGGCTTTTATGTACTATGTACTGGGGCTAACCGACACGAATTGCTATTATTCTATTCTAATATCACGTCCGTGGTGTTTGGGATGCGGTGCTCGATTCGCTGTAGTACAAGTAACACCTAGTACGTGGTTTATCCCTTTAAACAGCAGGTTTGTCTTTGCGGTTATTTTTTTACGAGATCTTGGAAAGCTAATTCACAGCCAGGGCTCTATAAAAACAGAGGTGTGTTCTTTTTTAAGTGGGACTTTCTAATAATAAAAACTAAGATAAGCCGTGTTGCGTTAATACACGAAAGAACCGATCAACATCTTCAGTGTCTGTGAAATGCATGCGCATATATACGGACATATTAAATATTCATAAAAAAAAACTTTTTTAAGAGGTTCAGTCATCTTCAATAATATTCCTCGAATCCCCTCAAATCGATGCCTCATTTGCCCGACATTGAGCTTATGTTGTTGTTTATAGTCACTCGTTTTACTGTTTTCAAATGAAATATTTGAATTTTCTCCAAATAGCATAATGGAAAAATTAAATGTGCCAGTTATGCTTCGAATACATAAAGAGAGAAAGCAGTAGACAAACAAGCAAGTTTCTGTGATAGCTACATGTGTAAATATATTTGTTGTTGACTTTAGTGATAACGAAGTACAATTTTAATTTTAATATATCGATTAATTTGATTGAACATTATATGCACGAGTTAGGCTCGAAATAAAGTCATAAAACAGGAAAACTGGGCTGTGAAACACACTCACGCATAGACACAGTAAACAATACAGCCCAGTGTTCAGAACGATTCGGAAATGTTGGCACGAAACGCAGACCTGATACAATTGTGGTTTCAGGGCTGGTTTATACAGTAGTAGTACTGTGTGATAAAAATAGTGAGAAAAAGGAAAATGATTTTTATTGAACATGTGGTTTATAGTTTCAGCCTGCTGTGTCACATAATCCAGACGGGAAGTAAATAATACTTCGATAGAATCTCTCTTGGATTGTTTTTATGATATGCCTCGCGCTTAACAGTTCATATCGCCTTTAATGAGTGTTGTAGGCGAATTAACAGCTCATCTTTATGTGCCGATTATATTCACGAGGCGGGTATTTGTGAGATGAAGGAAATTATACCTTGTGAAGATCCTGTATTGCAAAAAAAAAGTGTAGCACTAAAATGTAAACACCATAACACACCTCGCTAACAGACACATTAATAAACCTTTAAAGAATCTACATTTTTATATTGAAATCGATGCAACATGCTTTGTTACTGTATTATGTAACAATGCATGTAGTATATCAATTAACTGCAAATTCGTTTAAGGCTTTATTTGAATATTAAAGTGCAATTAAAAACTAAAAGTAAAAAAAAAACATCCGTAAGATTTTTAGTTTTTCGTTAATGTTTGTATTGGATTGATTTAATAATATAACTACAACCTAATCGTTTAGGGTTTTTTTTATATGAGCAATATTAATACGTCACCTTAATGGTTATTTTGTTAATATTTGAAAATCACACCCAGGGGTTTACTATTTGTGCAATTCCTGGAATATTAATTCCAGCAATATTCCATAATAATATCTTACTTGTAAAACAATTTGAGATTTCTTCACGTATAGGTGACAAGAATGTATTAAATACCCTTCGCGCTCTGCGTCTGCTTTGACGTTTAATTGAAAACATTCGAATACAGAAGGATACGCCTGAAAATCTCATTTAAAAATACCGACACATAAATTCTGCTCTTTGTTTTTCTGAGGGAAAAGGTAAAGTTGATAAAAAATGGTTTACTAAATGGTATTTAATTAAACGGGGAAGGTATAAAACGAATTGTCCCTACAAACAAAACGCGTGCAGGCGGTTCCGATCCCCGATCCGATCGGAGAAACTTGCTCGTTCGATATTCCTGTCCGTCCGAGGGGAAAGTTCTGAATCTCGTGACAATTTGTGGATGATTCTCCTCTGAAAACCCCAGAACTGTCGAGAACTGTCGTGTCTGAAAATCAAAGCCGCGAGGCAAGCCGCAGATTTCAGTGGAGGCTGACCAACATACTCCCCAAAATCACATTTTAATGTTCTTCCTGCTGCTGAAGGGCTTTTCCTCACAACAACCAAAACCATAATTTTACAAATAACGGACAGATACACAACCACACAACATGATGGGTCGCTTTTAAAGTATCCTTTAATATTTATGTGTAACAGTTATAAAAGACGTGACTTTTGCGCATTAGTCCATTTTTTTCACATCACATGTTTATTTGTTTTTTACTGAAATGGAAATATACGGTTCATTAAAGACATCAATTACATCTTTTAAAACCTAAGAGCTTCGCTCGCAACTCCCAGCCTGCCAGGAGACCTGGGTGCAAGCTGGCGATAGGAAACGTGCGCGTCCTGTACCCTCGAGCTGTCCAGTCGGCTGGGCGAGGGGACAGTGTCTGCTGGGCCGTCAGCCGGGTGTCTCGAGACAGGCCAACAGCCTTTCCTTTCCGATTTCAAGGGCAGCTCGACGCCGCGAGAACATCCGCTCTTGAGACGGATGCGCTTACGCGCTCTTCCCGTTTGTCAGGCGTCTGTTGATTTTTTGTGTGTGTGTGTGATTTAAAAAACAGAAACTCAAATGCTGAGCCATTCGTGTGGGTGCTACATACGTCTCCGTCTTTGTTGTTCCCCGCAGAGAACTCGAAAGCCGAAAAAGTCGCAGGAAACTGGCTGACAGCGAAGAGCGGGCGGAAGAAGAGGTGCCCGTACACAAAGCACCAGACGCTGGAACTGGAGAAGGAGTTCTTGTTTAACATGTATCTGACTCGGGAGCGCCGCCTGGAGATCAGCCGGAGTATTAACCTCACCGACAGACAAGTGAAGATCTGGTTTCAGAACCGGAGAATGAAATTGAAGAAACTCAACAGGGAGAGCCGAGTGCGAGAGCTGTCTACAGGTTACAGCTACACCTGAGAAGCCTTCCACCGCTTCCAAACAACCACAACCACAGCAGCAAAAAGATTGAAATAAAAAAAAGCAGAGCATGCAGTTTCCGTCGTCCGACAGCCAAAAACATAAACTCAGTTTTTTAAAATAAAACCGACGAGTAGCATTTCAATACAGAATTAAAAAAAATGGGCAGGTTCTCGAGTCAGGTGAAATATCTGTATAACCTTTCGATTGTTAAAGAAATATCTTTGTAAGGACTTTCTTGGAAGTGTGGGGCGCTCTTCTGACAGCGATACGGTTTTGAAAATGGAATTATATTGTTTGTGCATTGTGTCCAAAGTGAAAATGCGTTTCTTCCACTGTCTGTATGTAAAAGAAAAAAACTGACACACACTTTGCCCTGCAATTTCATTCATCGTGTTGAAATTTATTTTATGTTATTTTCGTGGATGTGTTATTTGTAACGAGCTGTTGTTGTTTTTTTTCTCCCTTCGGTGCACTATTTAATATGACCTGTTGTATTTGCATGTACTTTGCTTCACTGAGCAATAACATATCTGATATATAGAGAGAGAGAGAGAAAGAGAAAAAATAAAAATACATTTTTTTTGTAGAAAATCCACTTGAATCAAAAAGACTGCAGAGGGGATTTGGAAAGTTATTTTCTCCCAGGAATGTTCCTTTCCTAACCCGTTCCTGTTCCCCGCGCTTGTCCTTTATGGCTTTATGGGAGAAGGAGAGAGGGAGGGAGAGAAAGAGGGAGAGAGTGTGGGGGTGTGTGGGGGGGGGGGAAGAGAGATCGTGGCAGTTTTAATATAAGTGAGAGACCATAACGTTGATTTAAATATTATCCAGGTGACCACGATAAGTCAAGGTCATAAAACAGTAATGTCAGGACGGTCCTGGAAAAGCGCTGGAGGTGGTTTTTATGATCTGCAAATATAATGTGCCGCAGCAGTAAAGGATGCGTTAAAGGTGAGCGGAGGAGGGCTAATTCACAGCGCTCGGGCTGCGGTGTGTGGAGTCGGGACTCACTCCGCAGGTTCTGGTATTGACGCGACATTTCATTTAGGATAGCGGCGCGCCACTCACAGCAAAGGAATGGATACTGGAGACCGGAGACGGACCAGCTGGCCGCCGCCGCCGCCGCGCGTCCGGGGAAGCCGAAGGTAGGACGAGACATGGCGAATACTTTTTTTCTCTCTCGGAGACGCTGAGGGCTCGTGCTCCTGCCGGGGTTCTCCGCTCAGCGCCTCGCGCGTGGCTTTGATCAGCTAGCTGCAAGATTCTTTTTTTTGTGTGTGTGTGTGTCAGATAAACACCACCTTCGTGCACGGTTCCGCGGTGGCGGAGGACGGTGGGGGGAGATGCTCGTGGAATATTCCTCGCGCCGCTGGGAGTTTTTCCTGTGGCTGTTGTGCGATTGTGTCTGTGAGACTTTGAAGTTGGACGAGCCTTGCCTGTGTCTTTTTTTTTTTGCTTGTTTGCTTCTTTGTTTGTTATGGTCACCGTCAGAAAAAAAAAGTTGGGCTGTGCTGTCCCTGGGGTGTTCGGTGCAAGTGCGTGCAGTCTGATTTGCTTTTCCGTTGGCATAGCGATGCAGTTAGAGAGCGATTATTCAGAGCACGGAGGGATTACTGGCAGTGACTGACAGACACTTCCTCAGGTACGTGCGGGGAGTGAGACCGGGGCCGCTGACTGGCACTTCAATAGAAACAATCGCTTCCTTATTGAAATGTGTTTTTGTAATGCCTTTGCTGACCTAGTAGTTTGGGGGTTGTTGTTTTTTTCAGACGTTTGTGCGCTTAACGAAGTGTTCACTAGTCAGGCGGGCGGAAGGCGAGCTTTTTTGGTCAGAGGCGATGTGCTTCTGAGAGGCAGGTAGCGACACTGGGACGAGATGAGAGCTTCTGGGTGAAGAAGCCGGGTGGTGCCGTACTCCGCGCGCCCCCCTTCCTTTGTCCATCTCTTTTTATAACTTCTGCGTCTTCCAACTCTTCGCCGGCGCTCCTCCTTCAGAGCCTGTCGTTCAGGCTGGCGGTGTATCAGAGTAA